TCGTATGGGACTGATCGCCTCAAATAGTATTATAAAATATAATGGCATCGCATATAAATTCCCAAGCACGTCCTTGTTACCTAGACCCACAGGAAAATATATTTTATATTCTCTGTCTTGGCACTGCAAGTTCTGGGCAGGCTAAGGAACCGGAAATAACAAACCGTTTATCTTACCTGTCAAATTAATTATTGACATGTTTGGCTGATCAGATGACGGATACGGTATAGCTCATCACTCACCGATGACAGTACGGTCACTGTATCGTGAGTACATCACGTTATAAAAGATCAACTGAAGTTTCAGACAAAAAAGGTACCATGCGGGATGTTATCACTGCGACAATATTAATATTCACAGTTGTAAAATTTTTGTGACATGGAGTGATGATAATATTATTGGTGTGGGTAAAACAGTTATTAACGCAATTCTTTGAAAGGGGGTTAACTGTGAAATCATTTATTAGTATTTTAAAATGAGTTGTTAGCCTTATAGAATGTTATGTAATTATCATATTTAAGTAAATACTGAGTTGATAATGTATTTTGCCTAGAGAGGAAAAAAGTAACATTCCTTACGGCAGACAATTATTTGGTTGGTCATTAGGAAGGTAGCTCGTCAGTGATGGTAAATTACTAGACAACTCGTGGGTACTGAGGATTTTCTGTACGTAGAGTTATAGTAGTCCGGTGATCGAATATATATATAAACATCTGAGGTGAGTTATATCTCATCTCACTTGACGATCAAACTCTGATTGATAATATTGTCAATACATTAATTCATACTAGCTTGGCATTTTGTTTATAAAATATGTAAACCGATTTCTTAGCTATATAAGATGTACAATCTTAAAATTATAGTTACTATTGTGATAACAAAACAATAGTAAAAGAATATTAGAATAATGCATATGGCGGAACTAGAAAAAAGGGCCAACCCGCAAAAATAATTCTGGGCCCCCTAATATATATATATAAATATATATATATATATATTTATATATATATATATATATATATATATATATATATATATATATATATATATATATATATATATATATATATATATATATATATATATATATATATATATATATATATACATATATATAAAGTACTAATAATAGTCTGCAGTATTATACACATTTTTTTTGGCTTTCACTTGGTGAGCGGTTTTTTTTTCCTGTACTCTATTCTGTTAAAAAAAATTAAGAAATCAAAAATGATTTTAAAATATTGTCTATATCCCGAGTTGCCATCCCCCGTTGTGTTATATAAGAATACTCGAGAAAGTTGAGGGGAGATAATTCCCGGTTTATTTATTTTTTTATAGATCACTACTATTTCTTTAATGATAAAAGATAATGAAAATTAATCTTTAAAATAATTTGTGTAAATATTTGAGAAATCGCCACTAATAAAAAAACATTACTTGTATTTTACTTCATTTTATTGTGAAATCTATCATCGATTTGTGTGCAATTTTCATTGTAATAACAATATGGTTTGTTATACAGTTTTTAAAATGTGTGCTATAAAGTGACGTGTAACCGTAAGGTTTATTTAATGATGAAATATGTATGACCTTACCAACTATGTGTTTAGAGTTTATCTCGCCTTGATTAGTAATTGTTTTAAATGAAGCTAAGACGAATCTCACACGATGTGTTAGTGTTAACAGAGCCGTACATCCTATGATAATCCAAACTAAAGAGAAACGCTCTAATAATCGCCCAATTCGCCCAATCAAACACCAAAGGCGCAAATATATTCATTTCTCACAGGGAGTTTCATTCATTGTCGTCTTTTATACATTTTTTTATTAAAAAAAAAATAACAACTTCAATTAGAATACACACACACACACAAACACACACACAAACACACATACATATATACATAAATACACACGCACCCACACTCTATCTCACTTTTTACAAGCTTTTTTTAAACTAGATTCCTCTGTCTGACGTCACTCTATCGACAGACTGTCTATCTGTCATCATAAATCGAAACTGCCGAGCGAAATTTCGGGCACTTCTAACTGACAGATTATTTTAAAATATGCCACTTGGGTCAAGACTTTAAGACAAAGCGATGACTTGAATTTTGACTCAATTGTATGAATAAAATTATTTTATGTTAATTAAAATTTTCTAAAATTAGTATGCAGACGTGTCCTACTTTTCCCGCACTATATACGGTAATTAATATGTTCATTTGGTGTGTAATAGTTATTAGTCATGCAACTCGATAGTAGATACAAAATTTAAAGAGCTGAAAAATATATTGCATTTAAAACTTGTTAATTACAACATGTTATGTAACAATGCACTAAAACTAATAGCAGCATAATAGATAATTAATGCAAATGACATAGCCAAAGATTTGAGAAATATATTATGTACGTTGGACATACTTGATCTTTGTGTTAAAATAAACAAAAACGTTTGAGAGAGTTTGCGCTATTTTAATTTCAGCTTATATATATATATATATATATATATATATATATATATATATATATATATATATATATATATATACATATATATAACAAAACCGTTGTAATTGCCAAGGGCCTTGGGTAGATATCTGAAATATACGATATATTAGAATTTAGAAATTTAAGAACGAGAACTGATCAAGCTTTAGCTACATTTCAAATTAATTAGTTTTAGTATTATTGAGTTCAAAATATATTGTCTCACCTCTTTAACTTTTAGCTTAAAGTTGCTGAAGATATAACAAATTTATATATATATATATATATATATATATATATATATATATATATATATATATATATACATATATATATATATATATATATATATATATATATATATATATATATATTCGGTAATTAACGCAATTTCCTTTTTTTTTCAAAATCAAAATCAACTTTGATAAGACTTTTTTCTTTGGACTTCACTATTAAAGTAACGTAAAATTTAACCAACTCTAACCTCTACACAGCCGGTTAAATAGCGGGCTTTTCAGGCTAGGCAGATCATCGAATGTGTTCGCCAAGATGGCGTCATCTGTGCTAGAAGCGAGGGCCTTTAACTCAGTTGACGAGATTCCGCTCCCAACGCCCACCGTCACAAGCCTGACATTTTGTTTCTTTAATAGGTCAACCGCTTTCTGAGCTACATCAGATTTTAAGTATTGACAAAATTACAATTATAATTGTATTAAAAAACAGTAAGTTAACATATGATTTATAAATGCTTTGAAGTAAAAGATATATTATGTTTACTAGCGTCACAACTCGCAGTGGTGGGATTGGGGGAAAGGGTGGACAGCATCCAAGATTTTTACACGGTTACTGAAAGTAGCACATGTTCTTGCGACATTGACTTTTCCCGTAACATTAATAATTTATCAAAGCATACACACCATTGTAAATCGGGCGACACATAATTGCCGTTATCTAAAATTAATATCGTGAGGGTTGACGTAGTAACGCTGTTTCTCCTGTTAATACTGAGCAATAAGGTTACATTAAAATTTACTCACTCTCAGCTAGGTTTCCCGACTTTCCGTCTGTAGCAAGTACCACGTAGGTTTTAGTCTGAGATCGATTGGGTGATGCCTGACCATTTACGATCCATTGGCTGACAGCGGTCAAAGCTTTATCAGTTGAGTTGCCGTTTTTTCTTTCACCATTTCCTTTAAAACCCTAACAATCATAGACATATATTAGTGAATTTAAAGGCATTATTTAAATGCTAAACATAGAGCTCTGAAAATAAATTACTTTAAATAACAAAACTATTGTATCAGCAAGATAACAGTTGATTATAAGTGATTCTTTTGAGTTTATTTCGTACTAATTACGGATTTAAAATGTGTATAACTGCAATTTAATAATTTGACATTTTTTGTAGTATTCATGTTCTATTTTAAAGTATACAAAACACTCCCTCCCTTCACACCTCTCCACACAATCTTTAAATCAAACAAAATAGTTACTTTTTCAATGGCCGAATAGTCTGAGTATATCCAGACATCGAAGGACGTTGGGTCTTTTACTTTACTCGTGAGTGACCCAAACCTGGCATCATTGGGTCCCACATTGAACCTGCCCACCGTGTCCACCACAAACTGGACCAGCTTGTTCCAGTTGTCCGCACGGTTATCGGAATACTGCAGGACAAACACCACGTCAATCGGCGTCTTCACGGTGCACTTTCCTGTAGCTGTACACAGCAACAACAAAAACAACAAATGTATCGTTGACATTAGCAACACATTTTATTTTATGTTAGGCAGTAGAACAGTAAAAAGATTTGAAGTTTTTGAACCAGACGGTCCAATGATAAAGTAACGTAAGAGGTCACCTGTTTCTGTGACAAAGGGATAGAGAGATAAAACGCATGCTCAATAGCCTTTTTGCTTCTACAACAAATACAGTGAGGTACCCAACAGGCCAAGGTACTTCAACCTAGTTAGGAATTCGAGACCACGCCTAATTGGAAAAGCTGAACAACCAATTACTACTCGAAAGTCTCAAGCTCGGTAACCTAAATGACTTGAGTCGGGGATAGTAGAGGCGGCCGGGTACCCTTCTCGCCCGATTTGCCGAGCTAAAAGATGGATTATACTACATCTCTCCCATGCAACGTCTGGTCGAAATGTTTCTTTGCAATTTTATTTTTTCAGTAGTTTCCTTAATTTTATAATATAACATTTTTTATCGATAAAAATGTAGGCTATTTATATTTTAATGATACGCTTTCGATAAGTCTTAAAACTACATTTAATTTTGATTACTAACTTAAACAAAAACTTATGTATTGTAAATTAGGATTAACATAATCGTAACATTTGACTAATCACATGATCGCAGACTGATATTTCAGAAACTAACAATTAATTACCAAGATGTGACCAATCAAAATCTTCAGAAATTAACACGAAGATAGACACAAAAATTTGTTTATAAAGATAAAGCTATAATTGATATTTAAGATAACAACTTCTTCAACATACCTGGCACTGGCACGGTCGTCGTTACTGTTGTAGTAGCAACAGTTGTAGTGAAAATCGGAGAATTTTCTGATACAATTATTTAGAATGTTAATATATATATATATATATATATATATATATATATATATATATATATATATATATATATATAATGTATATATATATATATATATATATATATATATATATATATATATATATATATATACATTTAAAAAAAATACAATACACTTTACTGAAATACGGAGTAACTCTAACCTTACATCGGCATATTCAAACACTGAAACGAGTATATGCATGTGGCTGTGCATTATGACACCATTCATCAAATCTTCAAATTCTTCATCCAGCATAATGGCAGTAGTGTACGCAATTTTTTTTTACAATACATTTTCTGAACATAAAAATTGTTGTATGCTTGTATTCTTGATTAGATAACAGATAACATTAAAAAAGGTAAATTTATAAATAGATGAGTAAGTTTATCTATTGTTACCATAGCAAATCTTGTTGATTAGAGGGGTCCTGTAGCCAACCAGCTGATCATACGTGGAGACAAAGTACGTGTCATTGTTAGAAGAAGCTATGGCTTGTAGTTCATACCTCTGGACGCCGTTACCAATACCGATGGTAATGATGTGTATGCCAATGCTCTTCAACTCAGTGGCTAGACTTAAAGCTGACGGTTAAAAGAAAGGTTTTAGCGGGTCGGTTAGTTATCAACCTCTAAGTTAAGTAAATAAAAAATCGTTTTATCGTGAACAGATGCTTTATATATATATATATATATATATATATATATATATATATATATATATATATATATATATATATATATATATATATATATATATATATATATATATATATATATTATATATATACTAGCGTACCCGTCCCCCGCGCGTTGCCGCGGGGATAGAAGAAAGTTTGACGAATGTATTAGGATTTCACCAACGCGTTACCAATCATATGTTCTTAGACGCGTGACCGTCTTTTCTAAAAGTGAGTTAGCAATGGATCATAAATATCGGGACACGGGTTTACCTACACTACCGCATGAAAACATTGAGTGTACATTAATCACTCACCCAAATAATATGGTAAAACACACTTCGGTGACCGCCCATGTGTCTGAGACGTAGAGGGGCGCTCTCAGGGCCCTACCCCCCCCCCTCGATTACACTACCGCATAGGAGCGGCGTACGACCCCAGGCTCCTTAAAACTAACAGGCGCCATCGTGCTAAATAGCATCCTCTCAATAATGATGCAGATTTCGTCATTCGCTAAAGTGACACAAATGAACAGGATTTTTTTCTTTAACACGTAAAAAAAGTATTTGACGTGTTTTAAACATCAGTGTGACTGATGCAATATGCTAGCGTTACTAATGGTCTATTATTAGATGCTCGATCTCAATTTCTGACTGGATTGTCTAATAATAGATGCTTATTGCAGCATTCGCCAAGTGACGAAACTCTACAGTAGGCTCCTCATATTCAAAAAGTTATTTTTTCATCTTTGGCAAGGTGAAGAAACTGTACAGAAGGATTTCCTCTCGTTACAAAGTTATTTTTAGAAGCCTGTTGTAGTTTTACCGCTGAATATAGTAGTACCCCTTACTCGCTATGCAGGACGCTCGATTAACGGATGCCAAGTGCCAACATAGTCGCTCTAAAACTCTGGGCGCCCAACCGTGTATTGACGAAAGTTGTACCCTATATGGCGCCGCCCATAAGAAACTTTAGCTTTTCTTTTTCGCAGAAATATTCTCGGGAGTATTCTCATCTACTCCCTAAAGATTCATGGCACTCGGATGAACCGCATCCGATTTTTATTTTTTATATACCGTGTATAGAAAAAAAAATCGCCCCCCCCCCCCCGGAGGGCGCCGCCCTTGCAATATTAAACAATATTTTTTTTTTTGCAGAACCCTACTATTGAGTGATCTAATCATCTCCCCAAATTTTCATGGTACACGGATGAACGGTGTGAAACCGAAATAGACTTTTATTTTTATAAACCTTATATAGAGAAAAATCGCACCCTCCCGTGGCGCCGCCCTTGCGAAAATTAAAAAGAATTTTTTTTACAGAACTTTCCCTGAATTGTTCTAATCAACTCCCTCAAAGTCTCATGGCTATCGGATAACGGTGTCACACCAAAATCGACTTTTATCTTTATATACCGTATATAGAGAAAAATCGCACCCTCCCGTGGCGCCGCCCTTGCGATTTTAAAAATGATTTTTTACAGAACCCTTTCCTAGAGTTTTATAATGAACTCCCCAAAGTTTCATGGCGATCATGTGAACGGTGTCACCGCAATTCACTTTTATTATTTTTATATACGTATTATAGAGAAAAAATCGCACCCTCCTGTGGCGCCGCCCTTGCGAAATTAAATATGACTTTTGTTACAGAACCCTTCCCCAGAGTGTCCTAATCGACACTTCCAAAGTTTCATGCCTATCGGATGAACGGTGTCACTGCAATTCACTTGTATTATTTTTATATACCGTATATAGAGAAAAATCGCACCCTCCCGTGGCGCCGCCCTTGCGAAAATTAAAAAGAATTTTTTTTACAGAACTTTCCCTGAATTGTTCTAATCAACTCCCTTAAAGTCTCATGGCTATCGGATAACGGTGTCACACCAAAATCGACTTTTATCTTTATATACCGTATATAGAGAAAAATCGCACCCTCCCGTGGCGCCGCCCTTGCGATTTTAAAAATGATTTTTTACAGAACCATTTCCTAGAGTTTTATAATGAACTCCCCAAAGTTTCATGGCGATCATGTGAACGGTGTCACCGCAATTCACTTTTATTATTTTTATATACGTATTATAGAGAAAAAATCGCACCCTCCTGTGGCGCCGCCCTTGCGAAATTAAATATGACTTTTGTTACAGAACCCTTCCCCAGAGTGTCCTAATCGACACTTCCAAAGTTTCATGCCTATCGGATGAACGGTGTCACTGCAATTCACTTTTATTATTTTTATATACCGTATATAGAGAAAAATCGCACCCTCCCGTGGCGCCGCCCTTGCGAAAATTAAAAAGAATTTTTTTTACAGAACTTTCCCTGAATTGTTCTAATCAACTCCCTCAAAGTCTCATGGCTATCGGATAACGGTGTCACACCAAAATCGACTTTTATCTTTATATACCGTATATAGAGAAAAATCGCACCCTCCCGTGGCGCCGCCCTTGCGATTTTAAAAATGATTTTTTACAGAACCCTTTCCTAGAGTTTTATAATGAACTCCCCAAAGTTTCATGGCGATCATGTGAACGGTGTCACCGCAATTCACTTTTATTATTTTTATATACGTATTATAGAGAAAAAATCGCACCCTCCTGTGGCGCCGCCCTTGCGAAATTAAATATGACTTTTGTTACAGAACCCTTCCCCAGAGTGTCCTAATCGACACTTCCAAAGTTTCATGCCTATCGGATGAACGGTGTCACTGCAATTCACTTGTATTATTTTTATATACCGTATATAGAGAAAAATCGCACCCTCCCGTGGCGCCGCCCTTGCGAAAATTAAAAAGAATTTTTTTTACAGAACTTTCCCTGAATTGTTCTAATCAACTCCCTCAAAGTCTCATGGCTATCGGATAACGGTGTCACACCAAAATCGACTTTTATCTTTATATACCGTATATAGAGAAAAATCGCACCCTCCCGTGGCGCCGCCCTTGCGATTTTAAAAATGATTTTTTACAGAACCCTTTCCTAGAGTTTTATAATGAACTCCCCAAAGTTTCATGGCGATCATGTGAACGGTGTCACCGCAATTCACTTTTATTATTTTTATATACGTATTATAGAGAAAAAATCGCACCCTCCTGTGGCGCCGCCCTTGCGAAATTAAATATGACTTTTGTTACAGAACCCTTCCCCAGAGTGTCCTAATCGACACTTCCAAAGTTTCATGCCTATCGGATGAACGGTGTCACTGCAATTCACTTTTATTATTTTTATATACCGTATATAGAGAAAAATCGCACCCTCCCGTGGCGCCGCCCTTGCGAAAATTAAAAAGAATTTTTTTTACAGAACTTTCCCTGAATTGTTCTAATCAACTCCCTCAAAGTCTCATGGCTATCGGATAACGGTGTCACACCAAAATCGACTTTTATCTTTATATACCGTATATAGAGAAAAATCGCACCCTCTCGTGGCGCCGCCCTTGCGAAATTAAAAATGATTTTTTTACAGAACCCCTTTCCTAGAGTTTTATAATGAACTCTTTAAAGTTTCATGGCGATCATGTGAACGGTGTCACCGCAATTCACTTTTATTATTTTTTTATACCCATTATAGAGAAAAATCGCAACCTCCTGTGGCGCCGCCCTTGCGAAATTAAATATGATTTTCTTTACAGAACCCTTCCTCAGAGTGTCCTAATCAATACTTCCAAAGTTTCATGCCTATCGGATGAACGGTGTCACTGCAATTCACTTTTATTATTTTTATATACGTATATGGAGAAAAATCGCACCCTCCCGTGGCGCCGCCCTTGCGAAATTAAAAATTATATTTTACATAACCCTCCCATAGAGTGTTATAACGAACTCCCTAAAGTTTCATGCCTATCGGATGAACAGGGTGAAATCAAAATAGACTTTTATTTTTATATACCGTATATAGAGAAAAAACAAATCGCGCCCTGCCGGGGCGCCACCCCTGCGAAATTGAAATATTTTTTTTCGCAGAAACCTCCCCAGGAATATTCTCAACAACTTCCCGAAGTTTCTAGGCGATGTAATAAGAGGTATGTTAATGCATAAAAGACACACACACAGACACACAGACACACACACATGCATTGCTTTATATATATATATATATATATATATATATATATATATATATATATATATATATATATATATATATATATATATATATATATATATATATATATATATATATTATATATATATATATATATATATATATATATATATAGTGCCTCTGATGTACTTGAAAAAAAATCATTACTGTTTTGAAGATCTGAAGACTTCCCATCAGTAATCAAGACGACTTTGCGTCTAATCGATTGTCTTCCAAATATGGTAGAGTTGTACAATCTCAGGTCTTTGATGTTAGTAAAAGCTTTGTCTGTGTACGTCGTTATGTTAAGATCTGTTCTTGGTCTTATAAACTTTTTTTAAAGAAGATATATAAAAACTACTTATACTTATTTGTTAGCCGCAATGCTGTTCGAATATTTTTTTTTCGAAATTATTTATAAAATGGTACAAATAGTTTTAGTTGCAAAACCAGCTTCCGCCACATAGAGCTTAATTAATAGTATTTTAAATTTCTTTTAAACGTATTTTCGTTTATAAAAGAACATGGATAGTTCTTTTGCATTTACTACGTCAAATCATTTTTTTTCTCACTTAATTGATCTGCTTATACAGGTACATAGACAAAATAAAATCTTAAGCAATTTTTTAAAAAGAATCCAAATGTACCGTTTATTTTGCATTACCTTATCAATATCTACGATGTTAATGGAATTCGTCAGCTCAATTACTCTGGCGTAATTGCCGTGTATATTGGGGATACCAAATCTGGCAAAGCGCTCGCCAATTTTGAACTGACCCATGACGTCAAGAGTGAACTGCAACATTTTTGACCAGCTGTCTGCCACTGAGGGAGGGTTATTTTCGAGCACAAAGACGGTGTCGACGATGGTGTTATCGGGGCATCTAGCAATCTGGGGCGCAGTTGTAGCTATTGGTGAGGAATAAATTATAGTTTCCTTAATTTTATAAAATCGATAAAATTGTATTTATATTTTAATGTTATTCGTTCGATAAGTCTTAAAAATTGCATTTTATTTTTATTACTAACATAAACAAAAACGTATATATTTATCACTATGATGAAAAAGATATTAACAATTGTTTACTTAGACGAACTTTATTACTAGAATATACTAAGACTAATATCTTAGATAGTAACATTTGATTACCAAGATTTACACAAACTAAAATTTCTGAAAAAAAAACACGAAGATTAACAAACACATCCTAATATATAATTCCCCATGTGCGCACATCTCTCTCTCTGTCCGCAAAATATTTTCGCCGGATATCACGTCAGAATCGGCAGCGATATATGGATACCTTTATACGGACTTTTGTTGAAAATAATATGTTAGAATCTAGATGTTTTAAAATGTATAACCACAATTTTATGTAAAGAAGAAAAATAAATAATAAAGGCGTATTCGAATGTAGAGAAACAGTATTATTTATGCAACCGGAAAAGTGTATAAACTTGGGACAAGAACAAATTTAACAATGACGTCGCTTATTGTTTACACTAAAACAAGAGCACGAAACTGATGACGTCATCTTCCGAGTTTAGAATTTTAAAAAATGAACTATTTCATTCAAATATGATTTAGAGCTAGATTCTATGTACGCTATGAAATGTAGACTACACAATACGATATTCTCGGCCTAAACTTAAAAAAATTATTTTATCTATTTGGATTCTAGATCTAGAGATTCTAGATCTAGACTAGATCTAAATCTACGCTACGTCGCTAAGATCTATTCTAGATCTAGATTTAGACTATCTACTGTAGAATCTATTCCAAAAATAAATTTCTATAATAAACTTTTTCAGGACTTAAATATTTTATAGAAATCTTTGTTTGTTTAGCAATGAAACTGGCTAATTTTGGGTAAAAATATAATTTGAAAAAATAGGCATATTCGTGTAAGTTATATTTTAAAAACACTTCTTTTATTCTCCATATTTTTAAAGGTACCTAATTAGCTGAGATGATAGTGTACTTGATACCAGACAGGTGGTGCTGGATCAAGACACACCAAGTCAAACCTAATTTTTTTTTTTTTTTTTTTTTTTTTAATATGTGAATCTTCCTATTTTAGACTATAAAGAAAGGAACTACTTTGGAAATCTTTGTTTATCTATGCAATTTGCTAATTTCTATAATATATGAAGCAAAGTTGTCGGGTGCCCGACATTGGGCACTTCCCGGCGCCGCAGGCGCTTCAAATTTGGCAGGATTTTGCCTTGGGGCGACAGAACACGGAGGCCGGTGCCGGTTGACCTAAAGGTCTACGATGAGGGGGTCGAAACAGACCTCAACTGACCGGCGCCTTATATGAGCTACAAATCGAAAAAAAAATGTCCACGTAGGAACCTCTTCATAACTCCTGAGGTCGTAGACCGACCCTCGGGCGAATTAATTAAGCATTCAAATTCTCAATGTTTTTGAAAGCCTAAGCGAAGCTGGGCAGCATGCCTAGTTTGTTTATAAAGATGAACAGAAACTCATATTTCAGATAACAACTTCTTAAACATACCTGGTACTGTCGTCTTTACTGTTGTAGTCGCAATAGTTGTAGTGAAAATCGGAGTGTCTTCTGATACAACAATGTAGGATTGTTAATATATATATATATATATATATATATATATATATATATATATATATATATATATATATATATATATATATATATATATATATATATATATATATATATATATATATATATATATATATATATATATATATATATATATATATATATATATATATAAATATAAATACGTATATATATAATGTAAATCTTACAATAAACTTTACTGAAATACGAAGTTACTCTTATCTTTCATCGGCATATTCAAACACTGAAACGAGTATATGCAAGTGGCTATGTATTACGACACCATTTATCAAATCGCCATGAAACTTTATGCAATTACAATTATTTACCAGATCAAACCAGGCATAATGCCGGTGGTGTATGCAATTGTTTCCAAAACATTTACTTAACATAACCGTTTTAAAAATTGTTTTGTACGATTGTATTCTTGTTTAGATAACAGATAACATTAAATAATAAATACATAAAAACGTTTATAATTACAAGCTTTTATAAATGCACTAAAAAGAAACATTAAAAAAAGGTAAATTTATAAATAGATGAGTAAGTTTATCTATTGTTACCATAGCAAATCTTGTTGATTAGAAGGGTCCTGTAGCCAACCAGCTGATCATACGTGGAGATAAAGTACGTGTCATTGTTAGAAGAAGCTATGGCTTG